GTTTTTTTTTACTTCAAAATAAGATATGTGCAGTGTGCATAGGAATTTGTTCATAGTTTTTTTTTTAAACTATAGTCCGGCCCTCCAACCGTCTGAGGGACAGTGAACTGGCCCCCTGTTTAAAAAGTTTGAGGACCCCTGATCTAGGCTCTTCCTGTTGTTGCTTCTTCCCTAATTTCTCCCTTTGTTTCCTTGTCCCAGCATTAATTAACATGCTCTCAAACCCATCTGAACTGGTATTGCGAAATCTTTCCGAAAGGAAGTCAAGAACCCACACATTACAGGCTGGCCTGAGGCAGACCTGCTCCGGGCCAGCCCCTGTCCAGTGACAGTCCTTGTCCAGAGCTGGACTCAGGGCTAAAGGATGGGGTGGGGGTGCTGGTGGTGGCAGCGTCCACAGGGCAGGTCCCCCAGAGCCATCAACACATTCAATGATTCAATTTTTTCCCAACTTTGTTTAAACTAAAATTTAGTTGACCAGGTTAGTCTTATAAGCAGAGTTAATCCAACCCTTGGTCTACCCCAAAGTTCTGGGGCCTGGAGAGCCGACCACACCCAAATACCCTCTTTCCCCTCCAGGGCAGGGGAAGGGGCTGCACCGGGGGTCCCCTTCTATGCGAGTTCCATTGGGAACCACAGCCGTGGAATCATAACAGTGTCTGACATCCGTGTGCTTGATCAGTCATCACTCAACCACACAGTGAGACCACAGGAGGGATAAGTCACAGGGGCTTCATCACTCAGCCACACAGTGAGACCACAGGAGAGACAAGTCACAGGGGCTTCATCACTCAGTCACACAGTGAGACCACAGGAGGGACAAGTCACAGGGGCTTCATCACTCAGCCACACAGTGAGACCACAGGAGAGAGATAAGTCACAGGGGCTTCATCACTCAGCCACACAGTGAGACCACAGGAGAGACAAGTCACAGGGGCTTCGTCACTCAGCCACACAGTGAGACCACAGGAGAGAGACAAGTCGCAGGGGCTTCATCACTCAGTCACACAGTGAGACCACAGGGGGGACAAGTCACAGGGACTTTGTCACTCAGCCACACAGTGAGACCACAGGAGGGACAAGTCACAGGGGCTTCATCACTCAGCCACACAGTGAGACCACAGGAGGGACAAGTCACAGGGACTTTGTCACTCAGCCACACAGTGAGACCACAGGAGGGACAAGTCACAGGGGCTTCGTCACTCAGCCACACAGTGAGACCACAGGAGGGACAAGTCACAGGGGCTTCGTCACTCAGCCACACAGTGAGACCACAGGAGGGACAAGTCACAGGGGCTTCGTCACTCAGCCACACAGTGAGACCACAGGAGGGACAAGTCACAGGGGCTTCGTCACTCAGCCACACAGTGAGACCACAGGAGGGACAAGTCACAGGGGCTTCGTCACTCAGCCACACCGTGAGGCCACAGGAGGGACGAGTCACAGGGGCTTCGTCACTCAGTCACACAGTGAGGCCACAGGAGGGACGAGTCACAGGGGCTTCATATGAGAACCAGATGCCTCAGTGTTTGGGTCAATAGAAGGGACTTATTAAGTAGTAGTGATAAAAACATCCCATGTGCATGGTCTATAAACCAAGTAAGATGGAAACTACTTACGAATGAGAGTCACACTGATAGAAGGTACATTTATAAAACATACCCCAAACTGTAATTCTGTCAGGCCTTCATTTGAAATGCTATGTGATCACTTACATAATAAAATAAAATCAAGGAAAAAGATATTTTAGAAAACAGAACGACACTCTCGCTGTGCTTCTGGATTATTTTATTACACAGATCAGCAACAAAATATTGTGCTTGCTCCCCTACGAACAGAATGACGCGGAAGGACCCCACAGAGTCGGGTCCAAGTCACCTGCAGTGGCAGACGTTGCCTGAGAATCATTATCTAAGTAGTCTCCGTGTGAGCCACTGAACGACCACGTAGGAAAAAACTAAAAGAGAAAATGTCAGTAGAGAGAAGTGTCTGGCGGTGGCAGCCTCACCAGACAGCAGGGCGACCGGTGCTGGGACTCCCTGACATGGCCGCCCGTGCAACTGTGACTCTGCGGCCTTGTGATGCGGTCCCTCTAGAAGCCACCGTCCGGTGGGGAGGATGTGGGAATGCCAGGGCAAACGTTGGACAGGAACTGGGCTGTGGAACGGAGTTCATGTGCAGTGAACGGTTGGCATCCTTGGTACCTGACTGGATATGGGGACCTTGTGTGGGAACTGCTTCCCGCTCCTGACTCATAGAACAGAGGCCTGTAAACCCACCCTTCCGCAGCGCCAAGCGGCTGTGCTGAGTGGGGCCCGATGGGATGGCCTGAGTCCACAGAGGTGGTGAATTTGGAAGTCTAGAGCATCCTCTAAACAAAAAGGGTTAGCACTCTGATGAATGCTATGTGAGACTGTACAGTACTTGGCCCTGTGTGGAGTAGATGGCCTCAGGGCAAAAGTCGGTGAGCGCCATCCAGTGGTGACCACTGGGAACTGCACCTGAAAATTTCCATTTGGGCCACTAGCTGGCTGTTGATGGAGACCGCTTTCAAAGGACACAAAGTAATCCTGAAACCTGAAGTCTTCAACGTCTCCAGTGATGCCAGAGAAGATGGGAAGTGTATAGGTTGATACAGGTGCCCGGCAGTAGGGGAATGCAAGCAGGTACTCATGTCCCTGAGCAGGGCGCCTCTGTCCCCCGCACCGACTTTGGAACCGCTGAGGAGCTATGGGATTCTACTCCAGGGACAGAGCCCTGCGAGCAGCTCTGCATTGACCAAGTGCTGCCTGGTTTGTGGATGGCAGCCGGGTGCTGATCTCCCAGCCCCTGGTCCTGTGGCAGTGGTGCTGGGCGCTGGGTGCTGGACAACGTGGTGGCTGGCTGGGCCTGGGACGCTCAACTGGACGCTGGACATGCACTCCGCCCCCACCTGGCTTCACCCCTGCCTCTAGCGCAGAGAGGCAGTGATGGGGCCACCAACCAGCCACAGCCTGCTGGCCATCCGGGCTCTTAGCTTCGGGCTGGTTCGGGCCCGTGCACACCTGCTGTGCCCCTGGGGTGTCTCACCTGCACCAGGGCAGGAGGAGAAACCAGGCCACGGCCTGGGAGCGAAGCCCGAATGTGCTGTGGGGCCCAGGGCAAACGAGAATGCAGACCTTCCGCAAGGTGGGAAAATGGGCCCTGAAGGGATTAAAACAGAAAGCCTTCCCCTCGAAACACCTTGTTGCTGATCAACCAGAACAGGGCTCACACTGGTACGTGAGCGACGTTAACTCACGCGGCTGGTGTGACTTCCATGGACTGCAATAGTAACACTCGGTTAATGAGCCATCTTGATCGATCCTGGGATTGTCCTGGCTTCCTTTTCTGCAGATTCATTAATTAGGTCATCAAGATGTAAACTTTCAGCAATGTCATTTTTGGTAATCTAATCAAAAGCAACACCAGCCACTCTTGGCAAATGTAAGATTGCAGATCATTTAGACAATTATTAATTTCAAGAAGGCTGAAGGCTCTTTCTGTGATGGGACCATGACAGGTCCCCCCAGAGCATGTTAGAGGCTGTGAAATTATTTTGAAACATAAGTTTTAGTACATTTAGAGCTGATGATTCTCACAGAGCAATTAAAAAAACACTATACAAATCAGTTTTGAGATGCAAATCTATCCAGTGCCATTTTAATGTTCCCTCTGAGATTTCTTCTAATGTGGGGATCATATGAGAATCTGATTCATGATCTATACTAATAAAAGGGTAATATGCTAATTAGACCAAACATTTCTGGATGACCTTCCGGATGTCCTTCCAGACAAAGCCATGGTGGCAGGACCAAGGCAGAGGTGGTTAGGGGTAATCAGGCCTGCAGAGGAGAGCAGTTAGGGTGATCAGGCCAGCAGGCAGGTGAGGGGTTAGGAGCCAGCAGTCCCAGACTGGGAGAGGGATTTCTGACTGCCTGTGGGATCAGGTCTAAACCGGCAGTTGGACATCCCCAAGGGGTCCCGGATTGGAGAAGGTGAAGGCCCGGCTGAGGGACCGCCCCGCCCATACGAATTTTGTGCACTGGGCCTCTAGTTTACATATAATTGAAAACACTTGTTTGTAATGTTATCATTGTATCTTGAAATATATGGAAAAAATAACTTTTGCCCTAGCCTGTTTGGCTCAGTGGTTAGAGCATCGGCCTGTGGACTGAAGGGTCCCTGGTTTGATTCCGGTCAAGGGCACATGCCTGGATTTTGGGCTCAGTCTCCAGTGCAGGAGGCAGCCAATCGATGATTCCCTGTCATCACTGATGTTTTTCTCTCTCTCTTCCTCTCCCTTCCTCTCTGAAATCAATAAAAATATATTAAGAAAAAATAACTTTTAACTTCTATGTTAGTAATTGGTTCATCAAAACTTTATATGAACATTGTATTCTTTTCCATCAAATGCAGTTCCTTAAATTTAATTTGTGTTTCCAATCTTAATGGATGTTCCTTTACATTGCTGATTGCATCTAAAATAGAGATTCTAGCTCCTTGAATCATTCTGAGAATTTCCTGATTGACAGGCTTTATTGCAATGTCCATGTGCCCGTTTTTCTTGTACTAATTTACTGATAATGTTTACTGCCTGAGCATCAGCAGTTTCTGTCCTGGAAGTAGTTGTGCAGAGACCACAGGGACTTTGGTGACAGACATGCCAGCCGCCTCCCACCTCCGACCCCGGTGCTGCCCCGTGAGGACCCCTCTTTCTTGCAGGGGTTGCCACCTCTGCTCTGCATGCTGCTGCTACAGTGACCGCCCCTCCCCAAGCACCGCCTGCTGGTCCCACACAGGCCCTTCTCTGAGGGAGCTGGTGGCCCTCACCACCCTGTGCCCTCGCTCAGGGCCCTCTTCCTGGAAGCCCTGCCCAGCCCGCTGGAAGACACACGGCTGGCTCTCAGGCCCTATGCAAGGTGCCTGGCTCCCTTACTATCAGGGGGCCACTCCAACGAGGGCAGGAGGCTGGGGTTCAGACAGAGCAGCCGCACTGCCAGGCTGGGTCGGGGAGCCCCGGGAAGTGGGGTGGGGGTTCTCCCCTGGACCTTCTCTTGGTGGCGTCCCAGGGAAAAGCTGACCAGGACCTGTCCTTGGTTCTCCCTCCTGTCCTCAGCTGGACGATAGGGAGGGGCCTTGGGCTGGATGGGGCTCCAGGACCCCCAGTTGAGGGGCCTTGGTTCTCTTGGGGTGAAAGATTCCAGATCCACGCTGGGGAGGAAGTGGCTGAGGGGTGGGGGATCTGCCCTGAAGGCCCTGTGATTGGCAAGGGTTCACCTGGCTTTGAGGACCTGCTGCCGGAGGGTCGGGGTGCTGGTGGGTGAAGGGGTTGGGGGCCCTTTGTCTGGCCCACTCCCCTGCAGCCTCAGGCTCCAGCCACCATCCATAACGTCCCAGCAGATTTCAGGGTGTCCTAGCCACTCGGAACCCCCTGGGCTGCGGGTGCTGGGCGTGTCCAGGGCAGCCGGGAGCCCTCTATGGGAGACTCTGCCTTTGGGTCTCCCCAGGCCCAGGTTGCCTATCTGGACTGTGGCCTTTCCTCCTTGGTCTTACCTTTGATTCTGAAGCTGTCAAGAAGAGGCGGGACAGACCTTGTGGAACGATGGGGGGGACTCAGGCCAGCTCCGCCTCCTCAGAGGCCTCTGCCAGGCCAGGGAGACAGGCAGGGCTGGGGACAGTTTATTGACGAATGGTGTCTGGGGAGGAAGTGGGGGTGGGTTTTGTGCCCCTCAGCCAGGGACCTGGCCTCCACATGGGGCTCACAGGGAGCCCAGCGGCTGCTGCCCCACCCGCCTCTGCCCAGGCTCCTGGCCTCTGCACCCCTCTTTGGGTGTCTGGGTGCCTTCAGGCCCTGAGGCCGGCTTCCCTTTGGGGGTTCGATACTTGTTCTTCTGACTGTACAGCAGGTTCCTCTGGAAAAGGCGGGGGAGGTGGCCGTGGTACAGCAGGACGGCCAGCACCATCCCTGCAGGAGACGGAGTGTCAGACATAGGGCCCTCGGGCTTCTTGCAGCCCAAGACACCTGGGCACTCACACGCCAGACTTTCCCTAGGATAGGGCGGGGGGCCTGCAGACCTGGGTTGGGGGGAGGGGGTGACAGCAGCCTGGGAACCGACCCGGCTCCCTCCCCTCCCCAAAGGAAGCAGCCCCTGAATGAGCTCTGCACTGGAGAGCTGGGCCCAGCAGGCTTGCCTACCAGGATACTTTGTGTGGCCTATTCCCCAACCGTGAGCCACGCCCAGGGCTAGCCTTGCCTCTGCCCCTGGGAGCTCCTGGGGACCCCAGTGCCCCCCGCCGACCCTTACCTGTCAGAGGGCCCAGCCAGTACACCTGGGCGTACTCCAGCAAGGTGTGCCCTGAGCAGTGGAAGGTAACTGAGGCGGCCAGGGCAGGGTTGAAGAAGGCAGATGTGAGGGGTCCAGCTGTGGAGGAAGCACGGACAGGCCTCGTTGTGGCCCCACCTGGACCAGAGCCACCCTCCGAAATCCCCACCCTGAATCCTACTGTGCCCTGGCCTAGGCGGGCTCTTGACACCCAGGCAGGGAGCCCAGTCCATCCTCGGGCCCCGCACTGGTGGGGTCACAGCAGGAAGGCCACTCAACCAAGGCCAAAGCTTTCATGGTCAGGGAGCAGCCGGGGGAGTCTCTCCAGGGACATCCAATGCCCGACCTGACCTCTCACCCCTGGGATGGACTCATCTCTCCCAGCCCCTTTCTCCAACACATCCCACCTCGAGGGAGGTTGTCTTAGAGAGACAGAGAGAGATTGAGAGAGAGAAAGTGAGAGAGACAGAGACAGAGGCAGAGATGGAGCAATATGGAGACAGAGACAGAGAGATAGGGAGGCAGATAAAGACAGACAGACAGTCAGAGACCAAGAGACAGACAAAGAGATAAAGAGACCATGGAACAAAGCAGCACCAGGACTGTGGGGAGATTTGGACGAGCAGCCAGAGCCAGGCCAGCGTCCCTGAACCCCAGGCCAGGCAGACCCCCGTGAGCAGGGGCCTCCCGGGGCAGGCCTGGGCCCTGTGGACAGGGAGCCTGAAGCCGCAGGTGGAGGCCGGGCGTGGGCAGTGGTGCTGACGCTGCGGGAGGCACCTGGGTGGGTCCTGTGCAGACGCAGGAGCTCCTGGGTGTCACCTCAGGTGAGTGTCCGGGCCATCTGGCCGCAGGGCTCTGCCCCTGACAAGCTCTCTGCTCAGCCCTGCCTCCATCTCCCCACCTGTGCCTGGGCCCCAGTGGCAGCTTTCTGGCCATTGGTGGCCCAGGTACCACAGTCAGTGACACAGAAAGTGGGCCCTCAGGGCTGGGTCTGTCCTCCCTGGGGACCCCACGAATGGAGACCTTGGGGAGCTCGGCCTCAGCCCCTCCTGCTGCGTCTTCTGCTGCGTCATCCCCCCGCCTGGAGCCAACAGCTGCCGCTGACTGAGCACAGCCACGGTCACAGGTGCCCTTCCCAGAGAGCTTGACAAGTCCATGCCCAGCACAGGGGCACTGCAGCCACTTCCTGAGAGGCGCTGCTGTCCTACCCCGACCCCGGCCTCGATGCCCAGGGGCAGAGGGCGCGTGCAGCCCAGAGGACCCTCCTCGGGGCAAGTCCCACAGACTGCAGGGCCACAGCCTGGCTCCTCCGTGTCCTGGCCCAGCGCTGTCCCCAACTCAGGGACAGCTGGAAAGTAAGGTCTGTGGTCAGTGGCTCTCTGCTTTTCCACGAAGGGGGGAAAGGCCCCTGTCTCAATGGGGGCAGGCCCAAGTGGGGGACCTCAGGATAGGTGACCTCCATCTAAGGGCCAAACGCAGGGCAGGGCCAGGGGGAGGCTCAGGGCGGCTCCCACAGGGGCTGAAGGACCCATGAGAAGTTGGTCAGGAGGTTTGCCTGGGTGGGAGGAGTGACCCCAAAGGGAGGCGGAGTGTCTGCTGCCACCCCAGTAGCTCTTGGTGCCGAGAGGGGAGGTGGAGACCTGGGTGAGGAAGAAACGACAGGACCCGGCCCGCTAGGAAGGGGTGACAGAAGACGCAAGGCTTGCCGACTGGAGCCTGGGCCACACCCTGGAGAAACCGCCGGCTGCCCATCTGCCCCTGAACGCAGCCCCTGAACTCCCCAGCCGGCCACTTTGCTTTCTTAGAAAAGCATTTTCGTGTCTACGCTGCCATGCAGAACACTCACTGCATACAGTGAGGGGGGCCTTTCTGCTGGTTCAGCTTCTGGAAGGAGCTCAGAGTGTGGAGAGGCCTGGCCAGGAGGAAGGCCCTGACAGGGGCCTGGGGTCCCACCTGCCACGCTGTGTCCAGCCCCACTGGTCACACCACCACCTGCTTCCCAGGGAATGGCCTCCCCAGTGTCTGTGGCTCGCAGACCCCTCAGCTGGCAGCCCCTTTCCTGCCCACAGCTGCTGGCGGCCCTGCCAGAGGTTCTGAGGAGACGCAGGGGAAGACGCCCAGGTCTCACCTGTGTAGGCGATGACGGTGACCAGCAGGGCCACGGCGGTCACTCTGTAGACGGGAAGGCTATTCCTGAGGCGGAGGAGGGTCAGATGGAAGACGAAGGCGCAGGCGCCCTCCACCAGCGCGCCGTGGGGGACGGTTGTGCGCAGGGCCGAGCTGCAGTGTTCGGCCATGAGGTTCTGCAGGACATGCAGGTCGCTGAGCTCCCAGGCCCAGTAGAGCCGGGTCAGGGCGCAGGCCGCCTGCATGCCCAGCTCCTGGGCCGCCAGCTTGAGCAGAGTGCCAGGCAGAGAGGCCTCGGCCAGGAGGAGCTCCTGCAGGGACACGGTGGGGTTGGCCGAGGCCCCGTCGAAGGTGGCCCCGTGTGCCAGGAAGAGCAGGAAGAGCAGGGTCAGCAGCAGGTCGGGCCCGAAGCCGCCCGCCCAGGGGCCCAGCTCTGCCAGCATCCGCATCTCCAGGCAGCAGGCCCCCAGCTGGGCCGCGCCCGCCGCCTCCAGGGCAAAGCTGACGTAGGCACCTTTGGGGAGCAGGGCCTTGGACACCCTCCTGGCCGCCTGGCACAGGGCAATGGTGGCCAAGAAGAACGAGAGAGACACGTTCAGACCAGCCATCGGCTCCAGGGGCTCTATGGAGCCAGACTGAGCAGGGAACCTGAGCTGACGTATCGGAGCTGACCCACCCCAGGACCCAAGGGCGGGGGAACCGTGGAAGCGTCCATCTGGGCTGGCACTCCTGGGAATGCCACACCTGCACCCTCACCTCCATCCCACCTGCTGCAGACCCAGGAGCAGAGCCAGGAACGCTCACAGCGGACCGGCCCTCAGCCAGGCGTCTTCCCCAGGGCGTGAGACACACCGGGACACGCACCCCACTCGGCCAGCCCAGGGCTGCAGCCTGGCCACAGCTCTTCAAAGCCTCCATCGAGCGCCATGCCACACCCAGGCTCCCAGCTCCACGCTGGCAGCTCCCTGTGCCTGGGCGGGTCCCTGGCTCTGCCTGCACTCTGGGTCACACGCCACCAGTTCCCTGCATGGAGGCAGCCATCTGTGGGGCCAGGTGTCCCCACAGGAAGCCCTGGGGGCTCCACGAGGGCTGCTCTGGGCGCCCAAAGAAGCTGAACCAGCAGAATGGCCCACCTCACTATATGCGGTATGTTCTGCAGGGCAGTGTAGACACATAACGTGCTTTTCTAAGAAAGCAGAATGGCCGGCTGGGGAGTTCAGGGCCTTCGTTCAGACGCCGGGCCCTTGGCACTTAGGGGCTCCCTGGGAACGCCTCCCCACCCCTACTATGTGCCAAACGGACCCCTTCCTGAGGACACATTGCTGGGCCATGTCTCTCCAGTCCAGAGGGACCTGGGAGTCACTGCCAGTTTGGATTTCCTTTCTGGGAGTCCAGTGGGGCGTGACATCACCTGGCGGCACCCCAGCAGGCCCTGGGGCCCGCATGCTGCCCCGGCTCTGGAGCTGGCTCCCCGGAGCAGTGGCAGCGCCTTCCACGGGCAGGGTGCACGCAGCGCCCCCTTGTGTTCATCCCACCGGAACCTGTTTCCTGGGGAACAGAGGGCTTCCCTGTCCTACCCACTCCCCCTCCCTTCCATTCCTCGTTTTTATTTTTCTAATAATCCAATGCCTGTGCCTGCCAGACTCTGCTTGCACAGAAGGGAGCCTGAGACCCGGGAAGGGGAGCCCACAGCATGGAGGACAAGGAGCTGGCTTTTTTCCTGGTTGTCCCCAATTTTGAGGTCCAGGACTTTTACCGAGAGGGTGAGGTTAACCCCAACAAGAATTCCACCCTGGGCAGCCCTGTAGGAAACCCACCCACCATCCCCCTTGCCCAGCAGACCGCACCCCGGATGGCAGACAGACCCAGGCAGACTCCAGCCTGGGGGGTGGGAGCTGCCCCTGTCCTTTCCTCATTCGAGGCCAAGCACCTCTCAGAAGAGTGGGGGGACATTCTGAAGCCACAGAGACCTAGAGACTGGACACAGGCAAGACAGGGTTCCCTCAGGGACCATGTGGAGAGTGTGTCCGTGCTGGGGCCTCCCATTCCATCGTCACACCCACTGGCCTTCCGTCTGTCCCTGTCACTCCTGCTCCCACCAGGTGGGGCCTGGCCCTCCGCCTCCACGTGTCCACGCAGCACACAGAAGGAAGGCACCGTCCGACAGTCCACTGTGAGCACGCCGACCTCCACACGGGGGCTCAGGGACTCACGTGGGCGATCAATGTCGACTCATTTTTTTTATTTTTTAGGCACTTTTTGATTTTTAGATAAAACTTAAAGGGAAGCTCATCAACCTTCAGTGGAAACCTCCACCCTTCTGACCAACACATGAACCCAGTAACCACGCCGTCACCCAGGAAGGGAACATTTCCACCGTCCCCGGGCCTCTCGCCTTCCTTCCTCGTACCGCCCATCCACTCTCCTGGCTCATGTTCCCACAGGCCCGAGTTTCTCGTGGACAAGGAACCGTGACCGGAGCCCGGGTCTGTCCGTGAGGGGCGCTGACCTTTCTATTGCTGAATGGAATTCCATGTAAGGAAGGACCACAGCTGGTGTGTCCATTTCTCCGATGTGAACATTTAGGTATTTTTTTCTTTTGGTTTTTTGCCTGGTGCGAATAACGCTGCCACAGCGCTGCCTAGGCAGCCGTGGTATGTGACACAAGAGCAACGTGTGAGACGTGTGGGCTGTGAAGAAAGTTGGTGTGAAGGTTCACACACATTGTCTACCCTACCCAGAGTTCACGTCCCTTTACTTATGGTTTCGATCGTATTTTCCTGATGACAGGATGCTAAGCACATTGCTGTGAGCTTATTGGTCATTCAAATACGTTTTGCTCATTTTTTATTAAGTGTATACCTTTTTATTATCTACTAGTGACCCAACGTGCGAAATCACACGAGACCCGGAACCCCGGGGCTCCTCAATGGATTGCCCCAAAGAGGTAGGCTGGAGCTGGGGGTCTCGCCTCCATGGTGCGGAGCCGCGGGACCCCCAGGCCTTGTTGTATGGAGCAGCTGCCGGGCCCTGCCTCCGCGACACACACACAGCATCAAGTCCTCGCCCACCGCGTGCGCCTCACCATGCACGCAGCCCCACCCACCCGCACGCGACTGCTGCACCCGCAGCCTCCTTGTGACGGCGTGAGGGCATCACGGCATGACAACCACCGAGGCCAGTGGTCGGCAAACTCATTAGTCAACAGAGCCAAATATCAACAGTACAACGATTGAAATTTCTTTTGAGAGCCAAATTTTTTAAACTTAAACTATATAGGTAGATACATTGTTATTAACTTAATTAGGGTACTGCTAAGGCTTAGGAAGAGCCACACTCAAGGGGCCAAAGAGCCACTGCATGTGGCTCGCGAGCCGCAGTTTGCCGACCACGAACCTAGGCTATTATTAGTGTGTGTGTGGCGTTTTATATATATATATATATATATATATTTAAGCTACCATTCGACCATTCAACCAGTAGCTATGATGCACACTGACCACCAGAGGGTAGATGCTCTGACTGGTAGGTTAGCTTGATGCTGGGGTCTGGCCAATCGGGACTGGGCAAGACGGGCCAGACACGCCCTGAAGCCCTCCCGTGATCCCTCCCCGACCCTGATTGTGCACGGGTGGGGTCTCTCTACCTGGCCTGTGCCCCCTTGCAATCCGGGACCCCTTGGGGGATGTCGGAGAGTCAGTTTCATCCCGATCCCTGCAGGCCATGCTGAGAAACCCCACTGGTGCACGAATCCGTGCACCGGGCCTCTAGGTGAGTTATAATGATGCTTCATGTATTCTTATATATTCTGCATACAAATCCTTTGTCCTAACCTTGTTTTACAAATATCTTCTCCCAGTTCCTGGTCATTTTCTTAGTGATGCATTTCGATAAGTCTGTCTAGAAGTGTTACTGTTTTGTGTTTTACATTTATGTCTAAGATCTATTTTGACCTAACTTCTCAACCTTTGTGAAAAGTCTAAGATCTCCCACCAGTGACCCGATGTGCAAATAACACACAGCAGAGGCCCGCGCTCGGTGCTGCGTGAGGAACCACGTTTATTTCATAACTGGACAGAGCATAGGTGCACACACACAGTACGGGAGCCTAGAGCTAACACTCGGGGTCAGGACGTTGGGGAATGGAGTCATTACGGCAGGATGGCAGTTATGGTGCAGGGGTGGGTGTGCCACACAACCACGTATGTACAAGCCGCAGGGAGCCTCGGGGACGGGCAGCTACAGGGAGCACAGGCCCAGGAAGAAGCCACAGCCTGTTGTCGGGAGGACCAGCGTGGCAACCTGCTCACACCTCCCCGAGCACTTCGCCACACCCGCCTGAGGTGGGACCGCCTCACACAGCCGCCTGGGTGTATGTGTGTGTGGCCGAAGTGAAACATTGTCATCTCACGAGTGGTTATTCAGAACAGGGAGTCCTTGCAACTATTGAGCATCTCACACACCCTGGACACCAGCCAGGTTATTGGAGCCCATGGCCGGCCGGCCGAGCCCAGCATCCCCCTGGGACCTCTCCCTAGAGCCTCTGGAAGGAACTCATACTCCGCTGGGGGGACAGAGAGCGGATCCGGACGAGAATGGTGTCTTTCAAACAAAACGAGGCCGCAGCCTGAGCAGCATCAAGCATTCAAACAAAAACCACCAGAGTTGGCTTTCTGGATCTCTCTCTCCTCCCTACTCAGCGGGAACAGAAGCCACACCAGACCTGACTTTGCTCTCTGTACCCCAAAGGGTGCAAACCCTCGGGGGCCCCCAGATGAGCCTCGCTTGTCACAGATGTGGAAACGAAGTCCCGGTTTGATAAACGACTTGTCTCAGCTAACATGACACATGGAGGTTCGGGCAGGGCGGGCACAGAGACCAGGCCTCCTGACTCCGCGTGGGTTTCCTCTCCGGCCACTCTGGGTGTCTGGACTCGGACCTAGGACCTCCTGCTACAGCCGGCCCGGAAGGGACGCCAGGTCCACGCCTACTCCTCATCACTGCCGAGACGGCCCAGACCAGGATGAAACGGTCCCTGGAAGCCTCCATGGCCGGGGAGGCTCCTGAATTTGGGGAGATTCCGAAAACCCTCTCGGGGGCCCCTTCCCTCGGCCCTGCCGAGGACACAGGTGCTCTGCAGGTTGGCTGGCCTCAGACACCTGTGCCCTCGTGCAAAGGCCTCAGACCCTCTTGGGGCCACGCCCTCAGGCTGGCTGACCTGAGTGGGCCGTGGCTGGGCCCTGGGGAGCCTGACTCTCTTAGCACTCGCCCCTCCCTACTTCTCCCCGCCACAGGCTGTCATAGAAGCCAGTGTTTGTCCAGACTAGCTCCTCTCCTGTGTGTCTCAGCCCATCACCTCCGGGAACACCTGTGGAGGTGAGCACTGTCCCTGCTTCTGGACAATGTGCGCCCAGACACGGTCCTGGGCCCTGACGCTCACTGGCGGCTTCCCCTCAGGAGCGCTGTCCAGGCACAGAAGGGCTGTCAGCCTCGAGCTGGGCTGGTGCAGGCTGGCGGGCACACACGGCTGCCACAGGGTCCACCCTCCTGCATCCCTCATCTGAGGCCAAGCTTAAGGGGCCTGAACAACTTCCCCAAAGGAAAACCTCACTGGACCCTTGTCCCTCGGACGAAGCCCACAGCACACATCCCCAGAGGAAGGAGCTGGGGGCACCTCTGGCCTCAGTGGCCGGAACCGTGAGAATGTCCATGTGTCATGTCAGCACCACACGGGACTGTAGGTCTCAGAACCACTGTCTCCAGGGTGAGCTGGAGTCCTCCAAGCCAAGTGGAAGCTGGTGTCAGTAAGCGGTGCCCAGCAGGGGCTGGCAGGATGGAGGGAGTTGCCAGAGAAAGCTGTGGACCAGCAAGGCTGGGCATGAACTGGGGCCAAGTGAAGCCGCTCTGCTGGGGACAGTTTTGCAGGTTTGTTTTTTTTCTTGAGCTAAAAAGAGGCCCAATGTGCCTCGGGTGTGGGAACAGGTCCCAGGAGACCCCTGTGGTTTCTCTGCTGGGTTTAGGGCCTAGACAGGACCCTCGGCCAGACTCTTGGCCTGCGCTGACTCCTGTCCTGTCCTGGCCAACCGTTGGGCACAGGGTCTGCAGAGGGGCCAGAACAAGAGCATGGCGGCACATCTGATGCAGAAGGGGGAGGAGGAGCCCATGGCACTCACGGAACTCTCTCCTCTCGGGGCAAAGAGGGAAAATCCCAGACTTCCTTCCCAGGAGCAACCTGGAGCTCATCCCATTTCTCACAGCAACTGGAGAGGCTGTACCTCAAGCCCCTCGCTGCCTGGACCATCACCCTGGACCACCTCTAACCCCAGCCAGCCTCGCCCTACCTGCCTGGACACACGGCACGAGCGTGGGCTCCTGTCCCTCCTCCCCGGCCCCGCCAGCATAGCCCCTGCAGCCCTACCACTGCCTCACCGCCCACACCCTCCCGGAGCTGCACTGGCACTGCTGGGAGTCACAGCTCAGGCGGCTGCTGTGCAGGTCGGATGCGGCTGTACCTCCTGCTAGAAGGGACACACGCCACCTTCTGTGCTGCTGAGACTTCAGGCACACACCCCAGGACGAGGGTCTGCCCCATGGGCAGCTGGGGAGAGGCCTCAGGCAGGTGGCCCAGTGGCACCAACCTCACTGTGGTCTTCCGAGGCAGCTGCCCACCCTATCTGTCCCTAAGAGGCTTGGGAGATTGGTGTGGGAACAAGCGGGGACAGGGTCCATCTGAATCCTACTTATAAATAGAATACAGTCTTATAGTTAACTTCTGAGTGGACTGCTTCCATGTCGCTAACTACTGTATATTAATTATAAGTCTGTCTATGCTTAAAAAAATATGAGAACGTCACCGATGCCCCTGACTGGTGCCCTCCGGTCTCTCCAGCATCTCCCAGCTCTTCCCCCTGCCCCACCCCCCGGGGCACAGTCTCAGAGAAGGAATGATGACAACATGGCCTCCACTGGGAGCATGACAGTCATGTGGTGCAGGTCCCCGGCCAGAGGCGGGCTCGCTGGCCCAGCACAGCGTCCCTGGGAGGAGGGGACTTGTTGGCTGTCTGGTGGGAAGGACTGGGTGGCAAAGACAGACGGATGGTGAGAGGGGGCAGGCCGGGCCTGCTGGCTGTCTGGAGGGGGGGTGTCTTCCACTCAGACCCGCATCTGGGCAGACCTCCTTCTGGAAAGCTTGGACCTGCGGGAGGGTTGGAAGAGAAGCAGAGCTCAGGGAGGACGGAGCCTGCAGCTCATTGACCCCAGACCCCTCTGGTTCCCTTGGCACCCGAGAGACATGTCACCGTGACCCCTGTGAAGTCACGGAGGGAGGGGGCCTGGCTATTCCCTACACAGAGGTTTCTTCCCTACAGAAAAGTGCGCCTTGGTGGCAGGTGAAGCTTGAAAATTTGGGGAGTTTATCCACTCTTTGAGCAGCAAGGGCAAACATGAACACCGACGCCCCTGCGGATGCCCCCAGGCCTGCACCCTCCCACGTCCCAGCGGAGGTGGAAACACCCATCCAGTCGGAGGTGGCCCTACCGTATGGTCCCGGCCAGGAGAGGGTTGAACGCGTACAGCCAGTCGTGCATGTCCTTGTCGCTACTGGCCTGCAGCAGGATGCCGCGGTGCTCCGTGCACACGGCGAACGTGTGGGGCGTCTGCAAAGCACCGCGCTGTGAGAGGCACCGCCCCTCCCTGGGGTCAGCACTCAGCCAGGGAGGAGGGAGCAAGAGGGGAGACCCACAGGCTGGGGGCGCTGACAGGGGTATGTGAACTCTGCAGTGTGCACGGCCTGGCCCGGAGGTTCTGCAGGACACCCCTCTATTCTCACGCCCCAGGGCCCCTTGCCACTGCTGTGTCCCCACCTCACGGGCCAAGGCTCCTTCCCCCGGGACCCTGGCACAGCTGTGGTCCAGATATGTCCACAGGGCCCCGTAATCCTGGCGTCCCTTCTTCTCAAGCTTGAGCCCTTGGCATCGTGGTTTGAGTTCCCACCCCCACCCCAGGGAATCAAAAATCACCTAGTGCCACTGTAGTGGCCGAGGGAAGGAGTCGGGGCTCCCAGCACCCACATCCATAGCTGCGCTTGCTCAGAGGAGCAGGGCAAGGCTGGGGGGCAGAGGGCTGGACTCCTGGGCCCACAGCACTGCTGGCCTGTGTGGCTCGGCGCCCCCCCCACCCCCCCACCATGGGCATCCTCAGGAGGGGACGGGGTTGTTGGCCCTCGGATGGGAGAAGGTTAATGCTTGTCCCATCATCACCACTGGTTGCCACCAGGACAATGAGCCCCATGGGTGATAGACATCTGGGACAGGAAAGGCAGCCCCGGCTCCTGCCCTCTCCTTCCCTGCCTGGGACGCACTGTGTCCTGCCAGCCCAGGGCCTGCCCATCCCATTTCCCTGTCCGCACCTTGAGCATGGCCTGCTGGTCCTCGCTGTACTCCACCTGGGCGGTGGAGAGGTTGAGCACAAACCTCTCTACCGTGTCCTTGTCGTTGTTGTACATGTAGGCGTAGGGCCGCCGCACCACCACGTAGCGCTTGGCCCAGCCGGCCGTGTGCGGCTCCAGGAAGTGCAGGTAGCCCTTCTTGGAGACGATGGGGCTGTGGGAACAGGAACGTCTGCTCGTCCACGCCCTCCTGGCAGCCAGCGGGAGGCCCCAGCTCGGAGGTTCACTGTCCACCATGAGCCAGGTCCCCAGCCGTGCCGCCAGCGGGCCTCCGAGAGGAGCAGCCAGGACAGAGGCACCTGGGGACCTGGCAAGACCCCAACCTGGGAGGCCAGAGACCAGAACCACCCACCCGTCTCTGAGCCTCGGTCCCCAGCTGGAAGATGGACAAGCGTAGGAAGGCTGCAGCTGCCCTGCCCTGTCACGCTGTGACCCACGACCACACCCACCAATAGTGGTGAGCTCAGGACATGTGCATGGTGGCCACACCGGTCATTCGCAGACACATCACCACCAGGGCCCTGCTCCCCCAGCCCTAGGTCAGGGGGCAAGGCTGGCCGGTGACCTGCGCACCTGACCCGGACCTCCTGGATGTCGGGAACCAGCGGGCGCTGGGGCTCCTTGTCCGATTCCGTGGCCCGAGCAGGGGAGGGGATCTTCTTGGAATCAGCCTCTGGCACATTCTCGGGCTCCGGGCTGGCCGGCCGGGAGTTGGGCTGCAGGCTCCTGGGGGAGAGGAGGGACACTGCTGCCCTTCACTGGGCCCGGAACCACCCTCCCCAGGCTTCTGATGGGGCCTCGTGCTCTCAGAGCCGCTGTGGCACCTCTGGCTGCCTGACGGCCACCCACCTGATTCCAGGGTTGTGTTGGACACCGTGGGGAGGGGTCAGCTGTGAGGGGCTCCACACCTCTCTCCCGTGGTGCTCTCTGCCCCTCCCCCTTCACCCCATAAAGGTGGCTGTAGCCACTCGTCATCCCCAAATCGAGTTGAAAGAGACACAAGTCTCTCAGGGACCGTCTGGCCCATGGCCCACGCCAGGCCCTATGACTGCACCTGGTGGCCCAGGAGGCCTGTCCCAGGACGACAGCCAGAGGATTCAATACCATTTTTTTTGTTTTTAAGAAGAAATTCAGGAAACGCCAAGGGACTTAAAACTGGATGATCAGACATAAGCGGTGTCAGCAGTGTGGGGAGGGTCTCTTCCCAGCACGGCTCCCGTGCCGTATCCCTGTCAGCAGGAGAGGGCTCAGGTTTTTCTCACTGAGCATTTTATGAGCGCCGCCCCATGAAAAGGGTCCCTTGTTTTGTGCTATTTTGACCTGTTCCTGCTTTTATTCGGGGCTGGTTTTAAATGTATGCGTCCGCAGAACATGGCCTCAGAAAGAAGGTTAGGACATCACGCTCACAGGAGGCTGCGGGGTGGGCACAGGGCAGACAGTGGGGGCAGTGCCTGCAGACCCCACGCCACCAGGCCCGCCCCGAGTGGCTTGGCCACCCGCGCCCCCTTCTCGCACTCCGTGCCCGAGTCAGGGCTATCGTCGTCACTAGTCTTGCAGAGCGGGAAGCCGCGCAGGAGCCTGAGGGCTCACTCACCTCAGGTCGGCTGCTCCATACCGCCCTTCGACCAGAGAGGGGCAGGTAGAGGAGGGAGTGAGCGTGGCCACCCCCAGAGGGGACAGGGACGTGTCCTGCAGCAGTGTGACGGACATCTCAGAGAGCTGTGGAGGAGAGAGAGGCTTTTTCAGGGGACATAGGGACAGTCTCATGGTGGGGATACCGATGCGGTGGCTGATTCCTGCACCTTTGCTGGCATTTGAACTCCCATTAGGGCACCCCCACCCCCACTGCAGGTACCTCCCACCCCCTCCCAGCCCCACCAGGGACTCATGGCTGTAGGGCTTCAAAGAGCACCGAGGACCACACTGCGTGGTGCTGGGGAAGGTGCGGCTGAGCCAGACGTTAGGATGTGCATCTTGAGGACCATGGGGAGTGGCCCTCCCAGGCAGAGGGAGAGGCCAGCGAAGAGGACCGAGGCCAGCACGGCAGGCTGCGGGGCAGGGAGCGAGGACCCAGGACGGCTGGAGTGCCATGGGGACACTGGCGTGGGAGCCATGAGCCAGGGTGGGGGCTCCGGGCCTGACTCGGTGCCCACCTTGCTCTCGCTAGCGCTGATGCAGACGTGGCTGTGTGTGTACTCTCTGTTGAACGTGTGCGTGAGGAGGCGCAAACACTGCAGGAACAGCAAACACCCAGTCAGGAGTCTCCTGGGACCAGGCTCCGCTGAGGGCTCAGCCCCCAACAACACAGACACTGGCCCAGGTGCCCGGCACTGCAGGTCAAGGTGGGAGCACCTGCAGGCCTCTAAGAAGACGGGGAAGCCTCCCCAGGCAGGACTGGGACTGGGCGAAGGCCAGCTCGGTGGCCCCAGCCGCAAAATGGGCTGGGATTCGGGTGGTCAGCTCCCCATCGATTTCGGTATTTAAGAGAGGACATGCCACTGCTCAGGGAGGAGGCTCCCAAATTCCAGTGTGGGTGTGGTGGGGGCTGTGGGCAAGGGGACTCTATAGACCCCTCATCTTCCCAGCTCCAGGCCCTGACAGGACCCAGCACGGACAAGGCCACGTCACTGGAGCTCTGCAGGGGCTGGGTCATGGCCGTGCTGCCCACAGGCCAACTGCCCAGCTGCCTACCTTGACGGCCAGCTCCCGCTGCCTCTCGTTGGGAGTTTCCGGGGGCGACGCTCGGCCATCAGCCGAGAGTGGAGAGGAGGCGCTGGACAAGCTGTGGGACTCCGAGTCCTCGCTGGAGGCCGGGGACAGCGTCTCGGGGGCGGGCCGCTGGGTGGTCTCCAGCTTCTCCCGCAGCAGGAGGTAGTGCCGGGTCTTCTCGACCTGCACACAAGAGCCAGAGCGTGGCCTCACCTGCTGCACTCGCGGGCGAGGGCAGGGCGGGCAGCTCGCTGAGCACCAGGGCCCCAGGTCAGATCCTGGGAGAGCAAAGCGACCTGAGGCCACGCTGCTGACGGGGAATCAGCCCCTCCTGTGCCCTGCGGGCCAACACGCTGCCCCCCTCCATCCTGGCCTCCCACCCAGCCTGTGCCAGCCCCGAGCGGATGGACACTCGAACTCTGATACGAGCATCCGGCAGGGGCCTAGGGGGTGGGTGCGGGCCTCTGCTGCCTGCTGTCCACAGCTGCTGGTCACTGGGCTCCTGACTTAGCGACAGAGGGCCTTGCCCACCCTGATTCCTGGTCTCTGCAAGCCAATAGCCCTCTGCAATTAGGTCCGTGAGAGCAGTGTGAGTGCCCTCGCTCTGTCCTGGGGTGGCCTGGGACCCCCAGGGTCTGGCACAGACGCACCTCCTGCAGCAGGCTCAGCTTCTCCAGCTCCCACTGGTGGTCCAGGATAAGGCTGTCACTGCGGGGCCTCCAGCCCGCCAGGTTCTCCTCACCCCGCACGTAGGCCACAGACGTGTCCAGCACCCGACGGCGCCGCCGCTGCATCCCTGAAAAGGGTCACCTGTCTGACCACGTCCCCACCGGGGGTGCAGGGACAGGGCCCTGGGGCAGCTCCCCCTCCCCTAACCCTTGGTCCACCCTCAGAGCCACCCTGGGCTCGCCCAAGGAAAGTCATATAGCATCTGTCCCATGGGGGTTAGAGCTCGAGATGCCCTCCCTTCTGCCGGCCTTCCCATTGCTGCCTCGCCCCTCCCTGTCCTCCAGCCCCTCAGAACAACCTTGGAGAGGCCCGTGCTTCTCACAGGGAAGGAACCCCCCAATTGGCAGCTTCGCTGACATCACCTGGAGTGACCCAGAGGACCCCAGGTGACTCGCAATAAGTGCCACCCCGCCCGGCCTGCCACAGAGCAGGACAGACACCTACCTGGGCTGCCCGCGTCGGCCACGTGGCACAGGCTGAGGTCGTACACACCGGTCACACGGTTGCTGTTGGGGGCAGAGGGGGACATGCTGTCACCAAGCACGGGGATGCCCAGGACGAACTCTCACCACCATCAAATGCACACTGGGCACCTGCCCTGCCCATGCAGGTGGCCTCCAAGGGGGAGCTGGGTGCCAGGCCCCCACACTGCAGCCCTACTCGCATAGTCCCCACCTCAGACCCCCTTTTCCCTGGGACTGCCGATTCTGCCAGGGGCACCCACCAACCCTCTTGTGGACCTCTCAGATGGCTGGTCGTGGCCAGCCCAAGGCCACTGAGTCCTGACCCCCACACTCCCTCCTCCCAGCTGTGCCCAGAGTGGCCTGGGCATGGGGGGTCCCCGGGACAGAGCACGTGGGGAATCTCACTGCCTTGACACTGTCCCCCCAGAGTGCAAGGGGCGGTGGGAGTGGGAGAGGCACATCTGGTTCTAGAGTCTGACCCTCAGGTGCTGCCAGCCTCCATCCTGAGTCCCTTCCCAGCCTGCCCGCTCCACCCCCCCCCCCCCATTTATCCAGCCTCCCCCGTGTGCAGGCGAGGGGCCCTGATGGCCCAGACCCTGTGGCCCCCGGGAAAGAAGGTCACCTGGTGGTGGGGTGCAGTGTGGCTCCCTAACATGCCCTTGGTGTCCCACACGTGCCCCTGGCTTCCAACAACCCCAACATCAGGGTGAGGAGAAGGGCCGAGAGCAGGGGGCCAGCCAGAAGCGGACAAGCTGGGCTCTCGTCAGCCTGTGCCCGAGCATCCCAAGCAGTCCGGTCTTTGGGTGGCCAGGGTGCCCTGCCCACTCCAGCAGCTCACCTCTCCGAGGACCGCAGGCTCCCGCTGCCGAACAGGTTTCGGATGGAGCGCGAGGCAGGCAGCTTGGCGTCTCGGGAGTAGAAGACCATGCAGAAGTCCTTAGTGATGACGGCCGGCTGGGCGCAGTTCTCCATCTGCGGGGACAGGGAAGCGGGGGCTCAGGCAGAGGGACACGCCCTTCTAACCTCCTGGGGCAAGAGCCACGGCACTGACCACAGCCCAGGCCTCGCCAGGCCCCGCGTGGCCCCGGAGCAGGCGGGAGAGTCCCTGCTCCTCGCTGGAGCACCTCCCGGCAGAGGCAGTGGGCCCTGCCTCCCAGAGGCCCCGAGGGTCACCACCGATCCGAGACACGCTGCACAACACATCTATGAGAATGTACCCACGCGGTGCGTCTAACCCACCACAGACCACGTCACGGTGGCGGGTGTGGTGTCACATGCAGCCGCTCTTTGTGTTCCTGAAGCTCAACTATGACTCTGACAGCCGATGGGCCCTGGGGACTTGTCAGGGCAGAGCCATTACAGATGGAGGAGTAGGCTCTGAGGGGGGGCGAGGCCCTCACCCTCGATGCTGACCCCAAACTTCCAGATTCCTGGCTACCGTACCCACTAGATTCGCCCAGGCTCCCAGCCTGCTCCTGTGCGCCAGGCCCTGGGGATGGGGAGGAGGCTTCTGTTTTTGAGCTGCCTGGAGCACAGATGCCACCTGGCCACACCGACAGCCCACACAGTAGAGACGCGGGTGGGCTGACAGCACTGCTGCGCGAGGTGCATGGGTGTCGCGAGGACTTGGGGAGACAGCAGGGTCGTGTGGGCTTGTCCAGAGCGCGCTCGCCCTCCTTGCCCTGGGCAGGCCCCGCTGGCTCAGGGGACAGGTGATTTCGGCGGCGTGCCTGGGCACAGGAGCCTTGCCTCAATGTAAGCAGAGACTGTCATGTAGATCTTCTCTCTGTACGGGGTGACGCGGTTCAGCAGGAGGGAGTTGTGCATGGAGCTGTCCCACGCAGCCTCGAACTGGTAGAAGGTCCTGGTGGGGAGCAGAGAGAAGGTAAGAGAACAACGTGCAGGCCACACTGGGCTGGGGTGGGGACATGCAGACGGACAGACAGACAGAGACATGTGGCGACCCGCAGGGAGTGTCACTGGGGTCACAGGTCCGGAGGACTGGGGGCAGTGTCCAGGAAAGACAGTCCCCTCCTTACTCAGGACTGGGGGGGGCTCCAGATGCCACCAGCAGGGTGTGCCCAGCTGTCACCTCCACTGTGGACAAGGAGTGGCATGTGGTAGCCCACAGCTCTCAAGCTGAGAGCAGGGAGGTGGGGACAGGGAAAGAGGGGAACGACTACAAGGGTGGGGACAGGGCGGGGGCCTGGGTCTGAGTAAGGAGGTGCCATGGTCTCTCCTTGGACCCTAAGGAACCTGCCCCAGATTGCAAAACCCTGCAGGGCCCACCTCCTCCGTGACCGACTCGCCCCTGGGGGAGGAAGGGCCCTCGGGGAGGATGCTGGGAGTGGAAACCGGGCGGCCAGGTGCAGACAGCGCCACTGCCCACTGCGGCCAGACTCTCCACTCGGGCAGAGCAGGCTGAGGCCTCTCCTCTGCCTCCATCTCCAACCCGGAAAGATAATGAGCAGAGCATGAGCCAGGGGCCGACAAACCCCTCCCGGGGTGGGGGCAGCTCAAGCCATGGACGGCAGAGCTCCTACAGTCGTGCCCGCATATTGGAGGTGGGGAATGTGCCTCAGTGCCCACTGTGGCCGCCTGTGGGCCCTGGCAGCGCTGCACAGCCCCCTGCCTCGCCCGGTTTCCATCCAAGCATCTTCACAGAGACACAGCTGAGGAACAGGTCAACACAACAGCCGGGCAGTGGCACAGGCCCAGGAGTGTGGAGGGTGCCTGGGGAGCCAGGCCGCGAGGGGCATGGGCAGCGCCTCCGCTGCCCTTCTCTCTGTGGCACCGCCCAGGGGCGCGGGGCTAAGCAGTGGGAGGGGGCCGGGCCGTGTCGACATAGGTCATTGAGGACAAAGACCCAGGGGAAGGGATGTGAGGACAGCGGGCGACAGAGGGGCAGAGAGCGCGGGGAGACATCAGAGGAGAAAGGAAATTGAAAAGCAGCGGAGGAAGGGCCAAGCGAGTGCGGAAGAGAGTGATTGTACCTAGTGTCATTTCCGAATGAAACGCTAAAGGCGAGGCAGGCAGGACACACGTACACACACAGAAGAGATTCATATGTCAGAACAAGCACTGTCGCCCGCCCGGCACAAGCTAACAGACACGGGCCACACAACACTCCTAGCACCACCCACAGTGTCTGCAGGGAGAGCCTGGGTCTGTCCCCTGCAGGACCAGGTGGGCATCCCTGGAGCTGCGGCCAAGACCGAGGGACGCCGTCCATCCTGGGGGGCCCCAAACACCCAGGCTCTGTAGGGCCACGCCTGCAGTCCCCAGACTGTCCAGTTCCAAATGCCATGGCATAGCCACCTGGCCTCGGCCTGTCGGCAGACCTGTCTCCCTGCCTCAGAGCTGCCTGGTGGGTGACATGAGCTGTTACTCGAGCGAGCGCACTGCCTGAGGCCTGAGTGGCGCATGTTCGCATCACTGAGATTATTACTAGAGCCCCCCCCCCCCCCGTCCCCCAGGAACCGGGCCTGGGGCTGTGGGAAGCAAGCCCACCGGACACGAGGCCCCTCGGAGACGCTCCTGGTGAGAGGCCCTTCGTCAGGCTAGATCGTGGCTTTGTCCTGATTGGACACTGGTGACTAGAATGTCTCCGAAGCCTGACTGCTGGGTCTCACCGGGCCTTCTACTGCCCCATCACCCAGGTGCCAAGAAGGCCAACCGGACCAGGTCCAATCTGGCACAACATGATGCTGCCCCAGCCCCCATGCCACCTCCTGCAGACCCCCCATCAGCGTCTCCATGTGCCACGGACACCAGACCCTGGAGCCCAGGCAGGGAGGGTTCTGGACACCCATCCTGAACCCCAGTTCCTGAGGCCTCTGCGGAGGGGGTCTCCCCCAGACCCCAAGTGAGAGTCAGCAACGGCGCAGTGTGTGCAGGGTGGGGTAGGTGGCAGAGTGACAGCCACGAGGGATGCCCTAGGATTGCAGGGCACAGCATGGGAACCAAGGACAGCTGCTCTTCAGCCACACGGCAGGAACACAGACCCAGAGAGGCCACGAGGATGCGGCTGGGAGGCTGAGGAGGCCATGCCAGGGCCCTCACTCATGAGCAGCACAGCGTCCTCTCAGGACCTCTCTGGACACCAGGTCACCCAGGAGGGAGCCTCATTCCACACAGCACCCCTCACTCTGCCCCACGACCCATTCAGCTAATCCCCCAGATATTGCTGTCAGGAGAAACGCGTGGCCCAGACGTGGGGTCCCGGGCCTGCGGCACCAGCACGCTGTGGGAATATGTGAGAAATGCAGACTCCCAGGCCCCATCTCAGACCCATGGGGACCCTCTCCCCACTCATGAGGCACAAGGCACTGTTTGCACTTTACCTAGAGCAAGCATGTCAAACTCGCGGCCTACAGGCTGATGCAGCCCACAATGAATAATTTTGCGGCCCAGCCAATGTAACATATGTAAGAAACGTTTTAATAAGAATTTCGTCACTTAATTTTTATAAAATCCTGTTATACATAATTATTAATAATGAACTACGATATTCTCTGACTGATTACTATAATCGTGTTGCATTCAATTCCCTTACGCGCAGGCGCACCATTTCTCTTCACTAATACCAGCAGTGAATGTTTTAGCAGCCGATTGCCACGTCATTAGTCTTGTACTGACTTGTTTGGTGTGCACAACAGGAAATATTTCACTTTCGGAGAAGGAGAAAATTAGCATTACGAGTTTTATTAGCATTACAAGTTTTATTAGCATTACGCTTATTAATTTGTGTAGTTATTCAGTGTCTGGTAAGTTAATGTTCAAGAAAAATATTAATTTTTATTAAAATGTTCTATTATTTTATGTTAACGATGACTCATTTATTTCAGCCCTTTGTATTCAGCATGTCTCTATCAAAATAAACCTACGCTTCTATGAAAACTGAAGCGTTTGGTTTTTTGCGGCCCACATAAACTTAAACCTTGTTTATTTGGCCCGTGTTAGCCTTTGAGTTTGACATGCTTGACCTAGAACCTTCCTGGAGCCACCATGTTTGAGCGGCGTGGTGTCTAGGACCAGCCTGAGCACTGAGGTGGTTGTGGAAATGCAAACTTAAACGAAATATCCACACCCCCATGCAATCACACTGATGGGCAGGAAGTTTCCACTCATCAAGAAACCAGCCCCTACGTTGGGTCCCTTCCAGGGAGGAGCCGGGGCTGATGGGCTCCCACCAGCACCTTCTGAGGACAGGGTGCAGCCGCCTCGGCCAGCCTAGCCCACCTCCAGGACCAGCTAGCAGGCCGCCTCCTCCAGCAAACCCTCCCGGCTGCCTGGGGCAGGCAGGCCCCTGCTCCCCTCCTCGGTGCGGCCACCACCACTGCAGGTCGCTGCCTCACCCAGCCGGTGTTCCCAGGGAAGGGCCTGTCGCAGCCTCTGTCATTGAACAGGTGTGTGGGCACGCCCTCAGGGACACACCCGCAGGAACCGCTCACAGTACCCATCTGTCCAGACCATCACAGCCAGGACCAAGAGGGACACAGCCTCAGGTGGTCCGGCCGTACCACCCTCCACCCCCATGTAGCTTACAGGCCCAAACATTCAAGCTGGAAGCCTCCGGCTACCCACAGGGGACCCCCAGGACCACCTCATGGAACTCTGGCCAAACCCACCGGGACCCAGAACGTGACAGCCTTGACCCTTCGCTCAGAACGGACGGAGGCCGTCCAGCCTCAGGGGCCTCGACTGGGTTCGGCAGGGATGGGAGGTCCCCAGCCCAGGAACCTGCGCCTCCAGTGGTTTAACCTGAGACCACCCAAGCGAGTCCAGAGACTTACTGGGCCCTTCACAGCTGTCCTGTCCACTTACTTCCTAAAGGGTGTGTGGTGGCCACAGCCAGGTGAGGGCTCACACTCAGGGGTGGAAGGGGCAGAGGTGGAGATCTGGCGGGTGGCTTCACTCCCTCCCTCTTTTCTCTGTCACCTTTTGGGGAGCCTGGCCAGCCAGCCTGCATGCAGAGCGCCCGCTGCTCTCCGGCAGGGTGAAGTCGGGTGGGCACAGGGTGGGCAAGGCTTGGGGTGGGAGGAGCGGGAGCCAGCCAGTGTCTACGGGAGGGCAGCCAACTACCAAAGCAGCCAAAACCGAGAGAGGGGCAGAAGGGACTCAGCCAGGGGGGTGAAGAAGCAAGTTTAAAAAATCAAAAAGGTATTCTAAGGAAATAAAAGATGAAGAAACAGGAGGGAGAGGTGAGCAAGTGTAGAAGGAATCCAGGAAGTGGAAATTAAAACTCAGGGCTGGGGGGTGGAGGGGGAGCAGGGAGATGCTGAAAGAAAACCGAGGGCACAAATGATACCTAGGCATGTCCGAATCAAGAAACTGCCTGCAAAACACAAACAGTCACAGGTTAGTGAGGCGTTGGGGCCGTGGGGGTGGGGCAGCGGGGCAGGGACAGCGGGCAGGGACATCGGGCAGCGGCAGGGAGGGGGAGCTGCACAGAGAGAAGCCACCAAGCCGGCAGGCCCACTCTGAGCCAGGGAGGCTGCAAAGCGTGGGGCCTCAAGCAGCGAGGCCGGGGCTGTGGCAAAGCTCGTGGGCAGCCCGAGACCCGAAGCCTGAGCTAGGTTGGGGTCGCCGAGCCTCAGCACCTGAGGGGGGAGAGCAGCCGGATCCACCACGGGCTCCAAGGATGACAGCCAGGGTCCCGGGAGAAGAAGGCCCTAGGGAGGGGCCCGCTGGCCTGGCCGGCCAAGCCTTAGCATGGTGCCTGCCTGGGGCCACCGCTGAGGAGGGTCCCCTAGGCTTTTCCAGGACAGGGTGGGAGGTGGGGCCAGGCGGGCCAAAGCCAAGCATGGGGCCAGAGCAGCGATGGTCTACGCCGCCTTCCTGTCCTGGGACCAGGGCCCTGACCTCAGGCACGGGGCTGATGGACCCCAGAGCTGCCCTGGGGCTGCCTCACGCCCACAGCCTCCAGGTGCAGGACCAGAGCCCATCAGCAATGGGACTGGGGCCTCCAGGGACAGGAAGGACCTTTTAGCCAAAGCCCTGCTGGCTTGAGGCCCAGCAGCCTCCTAGGCTACCCTGGGACTTAGCCCAGGGCTGAGGCTCCCCAAGGTGCCCCCAGCAGCAAGAAGACCCACCAACACAGCCCTCAGTGCAGGCTGGGAGGCCTGGGAGGCACCCCCTCTACCCCTTTCCTTTGCCCCCCACTCCCTTCCTGCCCCAAGAATCTAGGAATTGCCTGAGGTCGGGGGAAGGCTGAGGTCCAAGGCATCACTCAGCATGACACACAGACCTCTTCCAGGGGCACATGCCCTCCCGTGGGGGTCGCGGTTCCCATGGCCCAGACACAGCAGCCCACATCCGTGCAGGCGGCCCCTGTGTGGGTGGGCGCCCAGCCTTCACCGCCAGGTCCCGGGGTGCATTCGCACAGTGACAGGCCCACCCCACCCCCTGTCCGCTTCACCGTCCCAGGTGCAGCCCCAGCCTGCCTGTCATGGTGTCACCTCCACATGAGAACACCCCCCAGGCCCTCCCTCCTCTGGATATGAGGTGAGTTCCTTCTAAAAGGTTCCAGGGCAGGGCTGGAACTAGAGCTTCATCTGCCCCTGCTGGGGTCCCTGTTCCCCAATCCCCAAGTTGCTCATCTGAGGGACGGTCCCTCACAGCCCCCCTCTCAGGGTGTCTGAGCCCGAGAACCAGAGTGGGAGGCAATTCCCCAGGACCCTCTGTCCGTATAGACATGGGCGCTTCCACAATGTGGGCACCACCTCTCTCTGCAAGCACATGCAGCCTTCACAGCCTCAAGGGCCCATGGAGACACCCACAGGTCGAGCTCAGAGAGTCAGGCAGGAGCAGGGCTTGGGTGCAGCCGGTGTGGGACTGGAGCACCTGCTCACCTCCCCACAGCCCTGGACAGCAGCCCCTCAGACCCAGCCGTGCCCGCCAGTGACTCCAGGGCGCTCTCCGAAATGTCAGTCGTGAACCCCCAGCCCCAGCTGGCTCCAGCGTCTCCCCGTCACATCCCTCCCACCCCGGCTGGTTTGTCCCCAAGGTGTCCCACACCCAGTCCACTGTGCCAAATGCCGGGACAGCCTAAGCTGTGAGATCTTGACCATCACCTGGGAGCCTTGACAGGAATGGCCCAGTGACAAGGAGTGACCGGTGGGCACACCTTCACCCAGGATGCTGGGCCGCCAACCCAGTGCGCCCCTGAACCGCCTCCAGGACCCCTGGTCGGTGTTCCCCTGCCAGAGGTCACACAGCTGCCTCAGCAGCAAGGTCGGGGAAATATGGAATGCTTGTCCTCCCACCACCCATGGTACCCACCCACCCACCCACCCACTGAACTCCCCAGACAGGACCCAGCTCATTCCCACAACTGCCCCACAGTCCCTGCCAGGCGATCGGATGAACAACGATGCTCACACATGCACCACGGGACTTTGAGGCCACAAGCCTCCCTCCCTGCTCCTATTCCCTCAGGCAGGAGGCCTAGAAGCTTCGGGGCCAGACATCCCAGCCCATGTGGGTGGACCCAACACGTCCAGGCCAGCCAAGGGTACCGTAGGCTGACACCCCAACCCCTGGGGCCCGAGCCAGACCGACTCATCTCCAGGGACTCAGGAGCAGAGCCTGCCGCCCAAGGGGACTCACCGGTCATCCTGGGCCGGGTGGATGTACCCAGACGAGAGAATGTTGAGAGATAAGATGTTGGGGTCAATCAGGGACTCGTCTGTTTCTGGGGTGTTTCGGATGCGACCTACGGAAAAGGTGACAGGTCCGTGTCACTTCCAGGCGGGCAGGTGGGGGCACTAGGTAACTGCTCACACCTCTGCCTGGGCCGGAGCTTCTGAACGGAGGCCTGCAGGGAACTGGCTCCCGGTGTGGCCACCAGGGCATCTGTCGAAGGGTAACCCCATGGTGGACAGGGACACCCATGCAGGGTCTGCAGCCGGCCCGCTGCTATAGGTCAGTGCACGGTTCTACCATCTTTCCTCCAGAAGTCTAAGTTCTGCGCTTCCTCCTCCCTCTGCTCTCTCCTAACAGAGTCCAATCGCTTAGGCCAAAATGCTAACAGAGTCCAATCGCTTAGGCCAAAATGCTCAGGCTTCCTACCTGTTGGAAAGGAAATCTTAGCAAGATGAGGACAAAATGTCCCCTCTTCTCATTATACTTAAAAGAGAGAGAGAAGAAACACAACCCGTGCCATCAAATGCTCCTGCAGGGGCTTTTCCAACAGAGCCCCCCAGGCTGCCGCCTGCACGCACTCGAGGGGCAGCTGTGTCTGTGGAAGCTGCCAGAGCCAATGCATCCGGAATCCTGCCTGAGGGCCTCATTGATCACTTCTTGCTCCGGCAGTGACGGTGAAACTGACCCCTCTGCTTCTTCCAGGATGGACACATCCCAGCTGCCTTGCCCTCAAAGCCCTCTGAGCCCCAGGGACATGGCCACAGACACGTCTAGGGCAGGGTTTTGAGAGGAGCCATCAGCTCCAGGGCAGGCGAGGGCTGGGGCCTCACGCTGACACACGGGAATGGACAGTTTGTGTCCTTGAATGAAAACTGGGAAGACACATTCTTTACAGGTTGGCAGAGGAAACATCGCTAGCAGACAAAGAGTTCACAGGATGATGTCACAGAAGAAACCCGGCTAAGGTCCCAGATGAATTGAATTGTGTCCCCCCAGAATATATGCTGCAGTCCTAGCCCCTGGCACTGCAGAACGTGACCTTCCTGGAAGCAAAGACCCTGTTTGGCAGCTGTAATTAACTGAGATGTGGTAACACTGGGCCCGAATGTAATCTGACTGTCCCTGTAAGAAGAGTCCACGAGAAGATGAAGGATTGGAACGAGGCATCTACTGATCCTACAAGAGGCCAGGAGGGGAGGGAGTATGGCCACCTGCCAACCCCTCTGTCTAGGATTTATGCTTCCAGAACTGTGAAGAGGAGAAATTTCTGTTGTTTTAAGCTACCCGGTATGTGGTGCAAGCTAACACAGTGATTAAATAGATATTTGGAATCATCACCATGGCCTAGTCCAGTGATGGCAAACCTATGACACGCGTGTCAGAGGTGACACGCAAACTCATTTTTTGGGTTGATTTTTCTTTGTTAAATGGCATTTAAATATATCAAATAAATCTCAAAAATGTAAGTCTTTGTTTTACTATGGTTGCAAATATCAAAAAGTTTCTATATGTGACACGGCACCAGAGTTAAGTTAGGGTTTTTCAAAATGCTGACACGCCGAGCTCAAAAGGTTTGCCATCACTGGCCTAGTCTCTCCTTTTCAGGCGAGGGACTGAGGCACAGAGAGGTTAAGTGACTTGGCCATTGTCACACAGCAACAGGGGCAGAGCTGTGGTTAGGATTCAGGCATCTGGGTGGGCAGGTCCATTGCCTTCCCACAAACCCAGCCCAGCCCCCAAGGCAGACTCTACCCGCCTCACTTACCCACAACTAGCTCTCGCACTTCCTTCCAGCGGATATGGCTGCCCGTCTCGTGCAGCAGTGTCACGGTTATCCGTCTCTGGATGCCCTGTCAGGCACCAGGAGAGAGGACACGGTCAGGGAGCCTGGGGGCCATGTGGGGCCGGGGAGGGGGCATGAGGTGGGCTGGGGCAGGGAGGGCCTGGCACCTGGTGGAGCAGGAAGGTCCCCATGCACGGCATGCCGCCACGGTGGTCCACCACTGCAGGGATGTAACTGGAGAGAGAAAGATGTGTGAGGCAGGCGTCTGCCCTCCCCGCGGGCCCAAGCACAGTCGAGGCCCCAGGAGTGGAAGGAGGGAGAACAGGTGAGATGGGAGCCTGTCCATGGAGACCAGAGTCAGCGGGGCAAGGAACCCATCATGTGCCACCTCCTCCCCCACCATGGCCCTCGGGAACCCCAGCCCCCCAGCCCCCCAGCGCGGCACACCGGGCGCGGGGACGCACTCGCCGTCGGCCTCCAGCTCACAGATCTCAAAGTGCACCAGCAGGTCGTATTTGCAGTGCGTGCCCAGGGCAGGACCGTGTCAGCGTGCTGAGCTTGTGCGGGCACTGGGGTGACAGAGAGAGCACGTGCTGATGAGAGACCGGACCCACCACGCCCTGAGGTTCGCTCAGGGAGGGTGCCGAGGTGGAGGACGCGTCCAGGCAGCGAGCTCATCTCACTCCGAGGAAAGCCACCAGCGGCTCCCCGCCCCATGTCCCAGGATGTGCCCACTCAGGCCTCCGCAGCCACGTACCAGCTCAAGATCAGATGTGACCGCGTGCTTCTCCATGCCCAGGGGAGGAGCACCTGTCTACACACCCCAGCCCTCGAAGAGATGGTGGTGGCTTGAGATGCCACAGAACCAGCAGACAGCAGGAGCCACACTTGCTTAGAAGCCCACAACCCGCCTGGGATCCCTGCTAGACCACACTCTGGCCACAGCCTGCGGCACCTGTCCCAGCACCTCTACCCAGCACAGACAAGGCCTGCCCCTCAGGTCCCACTGGCCCTCTACTCGTGACCAATTCCTGACAACAGGCTCAGATGGTCCCAGCCCCTCAATGCCTTCCTCTCTGGGCTCCCACACCTCTGTCGTCTGCTCCAGGAACCCCTGGGGCACAGGACAGGCACCACCTGACCGCCACCCAGCTGCTCCGTGCCTGATGGGGGGCCAAAGACACCCGAGGTGTTTTCTCTGCCGTCACCCCGTGCCCAGAATGGAGCCCCTCACTGCACGGGGACCCCGTGAGGCCTAGTAGGTGCCTGGGGACCCCGAGCCTGGGAGCGATGACCCAGCATGAGGACTGTGCTCAGCTGCAAGGTCCCAACCACACTGGCACCCACAGGGGCAGACTCCCAACAGCTCGGCCTACCTGGCTTGGACAGCGGCATGACCCGTGGGAAATGGCGGCGTGAGGGTCTCAGGGGGCTGTGGAGAAAGAAGCACCCACGTGAGGCAACCCAGCGGGCTGACGTCTGCAGGGGCCTGAGCTGGACCAGGGAGCCCCGCCTGCCTCCCTCCCTCCCACAGGCCCCCAGACCCGCCAGAGGCCCCACGGGACCATGAGAACTGGGCCAGAACCTGAGCACGTCCTTGCAGAGGGGCGGGAATGGGTGCTGCTGGTAGTGGCCGAAGACCTCGAACACGATGGGCTGGCTCTTGATGTATTCGATGAAGGACTTGGTCACCTCCACGGCAATCTGGTGGCAAGGTGGGCAGGGGATCAGAGGGGAGCATGGGGCCTCCATGGAGGACCGAGCACTCCAGGCCCAGATGGAAGGCCCCATGGGCCTGAGTTCCGCTCATGACAGGGACAATGCTCCTAGCCAAGGTCCTTCCAGCCCTGCCTCTCCTCTGTCACCACCCAATGGACAGACCACCAGATGGGTGGCTTTGGCCTCTCTTCCCAGTACAGATGGGGCTGGGCCAGAGGGCTCGGCTATCCTTTCAGACCACAGAGCTCGAAATGGTGACCAAGGCCAGGGTGCCTCTGGGGTCTGGTCTGACCCTTCTGGGGCCCTAGCCCACTCATCAAGAGTTACAGATTGAACTGTGTCTCCCTGGATCCCCACCCCAGTTCATAAGTTGCAGCCCTAACCCCAGCACCTGTATTTAGAGGCAGGGTCTTTATTGAGGCCAGCAAGTTAGATGAGGGCATTAGTGTGGCCCTAACCCAATATGACCATGTGCTTACAAAGGGGGAAATCAGAATAGAGACAGGTACAGAGGCCTCAGGGAGGAGACGGGCATGTACATGCTCCAGGACAGACTGGGACAGGTGTTCCCCTCGGGTCCAGAACAACCCTGCTCACACTTGACCTCAGGCACCTCTCCTCCAGACCTGGGAGGCGATAACGTTTAGGGCAGCCCAGGAAACAGCCAGCCAGTGTGCACACTTCAGATCTGCCTTGTTTCCCAGCTGGGAAACCGTGGTCCACTGCCTGTCACCTGAGGGCCAGGATGGGCCAGTCTGCAGGGCCACCTGACCATGGCCTCTGTGACTGCGCAGGCCTCATGCCAACAGACTACGCAGCTCAGGGTCAAACTCCCCAGCCTGGCCCTGGAGTCCTCATCACCTGGCAGCTTTCATTATGGCCACATGTAGCACCCCACACACTTCCTGATTACCCCTGCTCCCCGACCCCGAAAGCCCCCTGCTCTCCTGACAGCCTGGCTTGGATGCTCCCCTGCCTGGAGCTCTCCTGACCTCCCAGAGCCCTGCCTCCACCTCTTCCCATAACACACAGGCTGCCCGGCTAGGCACCCCAGCCTCAGCACAGACCCTGGCCACCCCAGAAACTTGTTCCCTTCAGGGAGCTCTCTGGACTCTTACTGCTCCCACCCCCAGTCTTAAACCCACCGAAGGCCCAGTGCCCAGCAACAGCCCACACGTCTGCCTGGTGCCAGAGGCCCTGTGTCCTCCTGCCTGGCCTCGTCCAGCACATGCTGGTGACCGGAAGAGGGAGGAGGAACCATGGTGAGACTGGGTGAAGCTGTTTCAGGGAGGCCACCCACAGCCAGACCCTGGGAGGGCCACCCAGTGGCAGGGAGGAGGGCTCTGAGGACCTACATTCTGGACGTGGTAGAAGCCAAGTGGGGGGCCCCTCCCCGTGTTCTTCAGGGGCTCCGTGGAGAAGGCCTCATCATGGCGATGGATGAAGCTGCAAAGCAGGAGGAGACACTTGGCTGGGGTCACTGGGACACCATCCATGCATTGCTTAGAGCCTGCCCACCCGCCTGCTGGCCTGTCCAGTCGGGCTGAGCTCACTTGAACTGGCAGAAGATGTCAGCGTACTCCGCAGAGATGCTGGACGCCTGCAGGACGGTCACGCGGAAGGTGAAGGTGCTGCCCAGGCGCAGGTGGTCCAGGGCGGCATCCAGGGGCCCGTCCAGCGTGGCCTTCTCAGGGCTGTCTAGGAGGAGGCTTTCCGGAGGCACCGCTGCAGGGAGCCAAGGGCACAGCCATGTGACGGGACCCCCATGTTACGGGGGTGCTGGAGTTGAGGTCAGGCTTGGGCCTGCACAGCCTCCCTCAGGGACTGGGCACGGGGAGGGGGCCTGGTCCTAATCACCCTAGACCGGGCTGGAAGTGGAGGGACCTCCAGACTACAGTGGGGCAGGGCCATGTCCAAGAGCCCCAAGCCCCGGGCAGCCACAGTGACCGACCTGAGCAGGTGTTGTTGTTGACCTCGTCGGCCGAGGGCCCCGCGTCTGCGCCCTGGCCCTGGCCTTCCACAATGCGCAGCTCTTCTTGGGAGGTCCCGGAACGAGACATCCCCACCACAGGGCAGGACTCGGACTGGAACTATGGGGGGTGGGGAACCAGAGTCAGAGAGAGGGGGCTGGGTGGAGTCCCCACAGCCAGTCAAGAGGCCAGGAGAGGGGCCTGTGCTATCCAGAGTCAGGTGAGAACTTCATGGATCTTTGTTCCAGACCTGCCCCAGGGTGGGTGGGTACCTATCTCCCTAGGCCTGTTTCCCAGGCTGTCATGGCCTATGCTGATTCCATGAGTGGGAAAGGTCCTCAGTTCTGCCCCACCCTGGACCCTCCCGCAGCCCCTCCCCCCATGGGCAGGATGCAGGTACCCTTTCTGCTTGGCTGTCAGGGTCCCGGCCAGGTTCCCTGTGCCAGGTGCCCACTCAGCCTCCTCTGCCCTGTGCTCTCCACCTGTTTGCCCTTTGACCCTCCTGTGCATCCCCAACATTGGTGAGCCCCTCAGAGAGGGACTGGGGTGCAGGCACACTGCCCTGAGCTCGAGGTGGTGGGCACTGAGGTTCAGGACAGGGTGGCAGGCGGCCGGTGGGGGTGGGACAGGAAAGAGCCTGAGGGAGAGGAGCTGCTTGCCAGGTACCTTTTCGAAATGCTGGTCATCAAAGGAGATTTTGGCTGTTCCTGACTGGCGGACGCCTGAGCCATAATCAGGAGCCTCTTCATCGGCTAGAAGAGGAACCCAGCAGATGGTCAGGGCCCTGCTTGTCCCCAGGTGGTGTGGCAGAGCCAGGCTGAGCGGTCAGGTAGGGGGAGGGCACAGGAACCAGGCTGTGCTCTGACCCACCCCATCCCCAACATTGCTGACCATGACTGCAGGATGCCCAAGGCACCACCCTGGGCATGCCAACCACCAGCCTGTGCTGCCCCGGGGCCCAGAAGTGGCCACAGCCTCAACACAGCCTGCCTTGATAGGGGCCACAACCCCACATTGTAAAAACCAAGCTTACGACCCCGCCCCTCTCTCTGAGTCCTGATCCTCCGCCGGCCTCCCCCAGACTCAGATGCTATAGCAGAACCAGAGTCCTCCTGGCCCCTCCCTCCACCCCTCAGGGCAGAGCCCACCCACCAGGTCTCCTGGTTTCACCGTGGAAACCCACCTGTCCCTCTGCCACCACCCTTGCAAAGCCACTACGATCGCCTGCCTGGGCACTCAGCGCCCCACACCTTCCTTCAGAGTAGTGAGTGGTCTCCCCTGTGCTGGGGACAAAATCCAAACCCTTTTCCGGTTGCCTAAAGGCCCCTGGGCCCCAACTGCAGCCACTCTGGTTAGATGTCACCCCAGGAGGCCTTGCAAACTGGGGAGTCTTCCAGGGGCCTGTCCTATAGTCCTGTCCCACCATCGCCTGGGGCCAGCCCAGGCTGTGCACAGCAGGCTCAGGGCTCATTGTGAGAGATCAGGGGGCTGAGCTCTGCCACTTGGGGGTGGGGGCAGGAGTGACTTCTGTGACCATGAGGCTGGTTTTTTGGTGTGTTTTTTTAAGTTCCTTTTCCTCCACCATATCCACTAGACAGAGAATGTCAGGTGTGGTCCAAATAGAGGCAGTGTCACCCTATAAGCAACCTGCTCAGGGGGACCCCACCGAACTGGGACAGAGCTGGTCAGGAAGGATGAGGAAGAGCCACCAACTGCTCCCAGCATCCCTGTCCTCTGTCCCTCTCCAGTGCCGCCCCCGTTCCCACCCAGGCTTCCTTCTTGGCAGGGTCCCCAGGGGTTCACAGCACAGAGACACGGCTGGGAGGGGCTGTGGGGTCCGAAGAGGGGTGCCCTGGACCAAGGGAGGCTCTGAGGGCCACTGTGGGCGGGGTTTGGGCAGCCAGTCCTGGGGCTGAGAGACAGCAAGTGGTGAGCTAGGAGAGCTTCTGTGTCCCCCTGGTGCTGCCTGGTGGGAGGGAGGTCCGCTGAGCCAGAGGGAGCTCAGACAGCCCTGGGCTCAGCCTGCACAGGCCCAAAGGGCCCCGGTCACTCTGGGAGAGTCTGGGAGGCCAGAGCCAGGAGCTGAGCATGGGGGCTTCTCCTGGGGCCCCACTTGGAGACCAGCGGTTAACTGCCAGTTGGGGGTGGGGAGGAGACAGTGCAGGCGGGGGGCCTGGTGAGGCTGGCTGCACACCAACCTCTGTGATGCCAGCTGAGGCCTCCCCGCCTGGGGCCTCTACCTGTGAAGGAGAGAGCCAGGCCCGCGGTCCTCACACACCTGAGATGGCCTGCACGGCCACACGGAGAAAGCCCTTCACCTCGCCCTTCTCGCTGACGATGGCCACTCGGTGCACCAGGGGCACGGGGTACAGCAGGTTGCTCAGGTACACGAAGGCCCTGGGGGAAGAGAGGCTCCTGTCAGGGCCAGCTTGGTGTGCGCTGCGAGCGGCGGTGGCGACAGTGCGGCCAAGCTCACGACACAACACTGCAAAGCGAGCGGAGCGCAGGGAGGCCGGGCAGCGGGCGGCGGGCGGGCAGGGGGACAGACAGAGGCCGAGGTGCTCAGAGGACACAGGAGGAGGCAGAGGTCGTGCGCTGGGGCAGAGGCAGTGGCCAGTGGGCTGGCACAGGGCACAGCTGGGGCCACACCGGCTAACTGACGAGAAAGCAGCTGAGGAGGGATTCAGCCTGCTTCAAGGAGGAGGACCTGGGACCGGGCCACACTGAGCTACGACGCTGGCACTGGTGCCCTGACAGTCCCCAACACCCACCCACTTCCCAGTGGTCCGACGCTTGTGGGCCCAGGTGCCGGAATAGGGCTCACAATTCCTCTGAGCTTCTAGGGACACAGTGGTGGGGGCTCCGTGGTGTCAGCCCAGACAGGGCACCAGCCCCAGCCCAGAGAGGGTTGGCTGAACAGACACCCGCAGACCCCACAGAGCTGCCTGCCATGGCCCTGCCAGCTACCCACAGAGCGCCCAGAGTTCTCCCTTGCCCTGGCAGTGCCCAGCTGGTGCCAGGACAGGCCAAACAGAGCCTGCATCACCCAGCAGCTACCACAGTCCCTGAGTCTGTCCATGTGCAAGGGTCACACGGGCAGCCAGGAAGACAGACAGGACCCTGGGGGCTGGGCAGGCTGATGTGGAACAAATCTCCCCCACTGTTCAGGGGGACCCACCCACGTGAGCCCCTGGGGGCAGCCCCCCTCTGCACACTCCAGCAGAACCTGCCTCTACCTGCCCTCCCCTCCAGCAGGATCCACAGGTAGCTCCTGCTCCAGCCCAGAGATGCAAACATCATTACCCTGAGCTCCTGGGGGCTGGGGGTGGAGGGGCAGGATTTGGACATAGGAGGGAGGGAGGTGTTGGGGAGGAGGTGCACAAGGTGGGTGAGGGAGGCCCAGGGTCCCAGCGTGGAAGATGGACAGACAAAGGCTAGAGCAGCAGCAGGGTGCGGAGGTGGGGGAGATGGGTGAAGGAAGGTCAGGGTCTGCTAGCCAGGTGGGCGCTGGCACCCAGGTGCATGGCCGAGAGCAGTACAGGGCAGAGTGGGGAGAAGCTGGAAGGGGAGAAGAGCGGTGTCACCCATCACCCTTTCGCTTGGCTTGCTTGGAGGTCAGACACCACCCACACAGCCACTGGCCTTGCCCCACACTCTGAGGTCCAGGACATCCCTCTCTGGACCTGCTGTGACCGCAGCACATGCCTGGTAACTCTGACTCCAGGTCCTGCAGCCCTCTCAGGCGGGGCTCCTAATCTCAACTTCCACGGCCTTGCTGGTCCTCCTCCAGCAGGTCAAAAACCTGAAACCATCTTATCTTTCAAACCCATCAGGTCTACCTCAGAAGTCTCTCCGAAGTCCTTTGGCGGGTCCATTACCACCGGCCACCCTCCCGCTTCCCCCATGGCCTCCACAGCATCCCAGGAGTCGTGGGGTGCAGATTAGACCCCACCTCGATGACACACAATCTCCTTGCTTCACCTGCAGCCCTGCTGCCCAGCCCCTATTCCAGCCACATGGGCCCTAAGTCCATCCCTGGCCCTGGTTACAAGAGGAAACTGAGGCCCAAATACTGGTAGCCCCTTGCCATAGTCACACAGGGCACCTAGCAGGCAGGGACTGAAGGGGGCAGGCTGATGGGCTGCTCCCAGCAGCTGCCTCGGAGTGGGGACAGTGGTGGCCTTCCCACCCTAGCACCTGGCTGGCCAAGGGCCTTTGCTTGAAATCGGGGGTACTTGAGGGGGCATACCTCCTCTTATGGGTTAAGTAAGGGCACGGGGGCCCTTAATTAGTACAGCCTGCAGAAAAGAGAGGTTAAGGGCTGCCAGGCCTCCCAGCCAGCAGGGAGAGCTGGGATGAGGGCCACCTCAAAGCACCCTGCCGGCCCAGGCCCAGTGGGCCCTTGTGTCCCCGAGACTCTGATCAGCTCCTTGGGGGCCTGAGCTCAGCAGGGGCCGGCACTGGGACATCTGCTTTTCCCACACCTGGGTGGTAGATGCTCCCGCACCTCCTGGGTTCTAAGATGCCCACTCTTCACACTTCAGCACTGAAATGGGTTGGACTGAGCAGTGGCACGCCTCAGCAGCTGGCCTCATCTTTCTTTCTGAGGGGTGCACAAAATACGGCTGGGACCACAGATGTGGCTGCTGCTCTGGTTCCAGATCAGAGAAGGTGAAGGAAGCCTCGCTGGCTCCTTCCTCCTAATCTGGGTCCACCTGGCCATGGTGATGGACACATTCAACCAGAAGGAACCTCTGGGGCCCGAGAGCCACGGCACCAGCCTCAAGGGACTGTAAGCTAGGGCTCAAAGACCCCACACCCCGTACAGAGCCACCTCACAACAGCACTAGACATGAGGGGGTGGGGCCATGGGGCAGAAACCACCTGGCATTAGCATGGCCACCGTGGGGACGCCCTGCCCGCACACACGGAGTGGCTCTCAGTCTCGCTGGCAAAGATCTGGGCTGAGCAGCCCCGTACTCAGAGTACACCTGGCTGATGGTTTGTCCTTGCCAGCCCAGGTGGCAGAGTGCATGGAGCAGCTCAGCGTTTTCCCACCCAGAGTCCCGGACACTTCCCTTGGGCAGTCACCTCTGTTCCCTCACCCAGTCCCTCTTTTCCTAGGACGCCCCTCCCCAATTCCTGAGAGTAGTGGATTATAGGGGGAAACACTCCCTCTGCTTGGTCAGCCATCCCCCAATTCACCCAGCACCCCAGACTGCCAACGGGAGATGCCCCTGGGGGGCGGACCCTGGGCGTGGGTAAGGAGGCTGGGTCGGGACGAGGGAGGCCCAGGCTGGGGGCCTTGTCCACGGAGGTGAGCACACCTTGAAGCAGGCTGAAACCCGCCCAGAGAGAGGAGGTGGCAGAGACACAGAGCCAGAGCTGTGTGGCGGGAGGGAGGAGGCAGCGCTGACCACGAGATTGGTGAGGTGCAAAGATGCATGCTGGGCCAGGAAAGCCTTTCTGAAGGGAGATGAGAGTGAATGCCCCAATTCTGCTTAAGCTTCGGAGAGAGCCGGCAGCTACCAGAGGATCAGAGGAAACCACAGCCGGGTCCTTCCCGGGGCCCGGCCCACAGAGCTGCTGAGCGGGGAAAAGCCAATTCTTGCCAAACAAAAAGATCAGGACGGTTCCAAAAGAAGCCCTCCTTGGACCGCCCACAGGCAGGGCCGGCCTCTCAGGGGCGGCTTTGCTGTGGTTTGGTTGTTTCCTGACATCTCAGACCCACACGGGGAAGTGCCGGAAGGACCCAGCTCTTTCTGGCTGAGACTGCAAGAACCCACCCCGTTTCTCCC